CCAAAACTGATCAAAAATTGCCCCAAAACTGATCCAAAAATGTCCCAAAACTGATCCCAAAATGTCCTAAAATTTAATCCAAACCTGCCCCAGAATTGCCCCCAAAAACGCCCTAAAATGGACCCAAATTTGCCCCAAATTTGCCCCAAATTTGCCCCAGGTCTGAGCTTTTCCCCCCGAATTGTTCCAGGGTCCCCCCGGGAAAGGCTGGGCTGGGTCAGCAGGGACCTGATGGTCTGGGAAAAGGGGAGGGGGGGGATTGGGATGGGTTTGGGGGGGGGTCTGGGGTCCCCCAAAATCCATCCCTAAAAAATTCCGGGGTGCTGGGTTTGCCCTGTCCCAAAAAATCCCAAAATCCAGACCCGGGTCCCGCTCGTTTGGTGGAGAATCGCGCTGATCCCGCCCCAAAAATGATCCAAAAATGCCCCCAAATCGATCCAAAAACATCCTAAAATGGATCCAAAAATGATCCAAAAATGTCCTAAAATTGACCCAAAATTGTCCTAAAATTGATCCAAAAATGCCTCAAAACTGATCCAAAAAGGTCCTAAAATCGATCCAAAAATACCCCAAAATTGATCCAAGACTGCCTCAAAACTGATCCAAAATTGTCCTAAAATTGATCCAAAATTGTCCCAGAATCGCCCCAAAATGTCCTAAAATTGATCCAAAACTGATCCAAAACTGCCCCAAAATGAATCCAAAATTGCCCCAAAATTGATCCAAAACTGCCCCAAAAATGATCAAAAAATGCCCCAAAATCGATCCAAAATTGTCCTAAAATTGATCTAAAACTGCCCCAAAACTGATCCAAAAATGTCCCAAAATCGATCCAAAAACATCCTAAAATGGATCCAAAAATGATCAAAAAATGTCCTAAAATTGATCCAAAACTGCCCCAAAACTGCCCCAAAATGAATCCAAAACTGCCCCAAAACTGATCCCAAAATGCCCTAAAATTGATCTAAAATTTAATCCAAAATTTAATCCGAAATTGATCCAAAACTGCCTTAAAATTGATCCAAAAATGTCCTAAAATTGATCCAAAATTGTCCTAAATCCCTCCCAGTACAAACCAGTCCCTCCCAGTACAAACCAGTCCCATTTCCATCCCAGTTTAACCCCCAAAATCCCATCCCCCGACCCCAAACCCCCCCAAAACTTGTCCCAAACCCCCTCCCAGTACAAACCAGTATAACCCAGTACAGACCAGCAGCACGTGCCGCAGCCCCAGCTCGGCTCTCCAGTCCCTCTTGAGGACGTTGACGCAGATTTCCCCGCTGGGCCCCACGTTGGGGTGGAAAATTTTGGTGAGGAAAAATCCCTTGGGGGGAGAGGCCGGGAAATCCTTGCCCAGAACCAACTTCATCCTAAAGAGCCCCCCCGCGTACGGGGTGCCCTCTGGAACCCCAAAATTATCAGTTAGGAACCCCAAAATATCCGAAATTCAACCCAAAAAATCAAAAATTCACCCCTGAAATACCCCGGGTACGGGGTGCCCTCTGGAACCCCAAAATATCCGAAATTTAACCCAAAAAATCCAAAATTCAACCCAAAAATACCCCGGGTATGGGGTGCCCTCTGGAACCCCAAAATTATCAGTTAGGAACCCCAAAATATCCGAAATTTAACCCAAAAAATCCAAAATTCACCCCTGAAATACCCCGGGTATGGGGCGCCCTCTGGAACCCCAAAATCGGGAATTAGAAACCCCAAAATATCCGAAATTTAACCCAAAATATCCTGAATTTAACCCAAAAATACCCCGGGTACGGGGTGCCCTCTGGAACCCCAAAATCGGGAATTAGAAACCCCAAAATATCCTGAATTTAACCCAAAAATACCCCGGGTACGGGGTGCTCTCTGGAACCCCAAAATTCAGTGTTAGAAACCCCAAAAAATCCGAAATTCAACCCAAAAAAATTCGAAATTCAACCCAAAAATACCCCGGGTACGGGGTGCCCTCTGGAACCCCAAAATTGGGAATTAGAAACCCCAAAATATCCGAAATTTAACCCAAAAAATCAAAAATTCACCCCTGAAATACCCCGGGTATGGGGCGCCCTCTGGAACCCCAAAATTTAGTGTTAGAAACCCCAAAATATCCGAAATTCAACCCAAAAAAATTCGAAATTCAACCCAAAAATACCCCGGGTACGGGGTGCTCTCTGGAACCCCAAAATTCAGTGTTAGAAACCCCAAAATATCTGAAATTTAACCCAAAAAATCAAAAATTCACCCCTGAAATACCCCGGGTACGGGGCGCCCTCTGGAACCCCAAAATTGGGAATTAGAAACCCCAAAATATCCGAAATTCAACCCAAAAAATCA